CCCTCGAAAATACATCTTCGACGACATTATCGCGGTTATCTACCATGCCCCAGAGTGAGCATGATCAGATTCTGGGAGTGCATTGCGACACTGACTCTCGCCGTCAGGGAGAACTGCAACGTCGCCACCCTACATTCCATGTCCCTCATGTGGATCATTTACGCTCTCGCCACCTTGCTTGACACCAACAAGCCCCCTTACGCCGTCGAGGCGCAGGAGTACTACCTGCTCGCGCGAGTAGCCCTCCGCTTTGCGCCGCCTGCGCATGACACGACACTGACCGCTATCCAAACGATGGTCTGTTTGCATTGTCTTGAACTGCCTGGCTAGGCGCCCTGTCTAACAGAGGTGTAGATCTATATGACTCAGTACCTCGAAATGAGCGATTGCGAGCCCGCACATACCGGTTCACACAAGGCATGGATGCAGATAGGCCAGGCCGTGAAGCTGGGGCACAGCGTACGTTCACCACCAGACGAGGCTATCCTCGTTCGCTGACATTGGCCTCCATACAGATTGGTCTTCGTATGTAACACAACTCCGAAACTCCTTCGCAGATCTCTGACAGTTCAGCAGACGTCCGCAGCTCGCGGTGGCGACTGGGCCAAGATGCCGCTCTGCAACGGAACAGGGTCTTTTGGCAGCTGTTCGTCCAAGACCTGTGGCTTGTGAGCATCCCGTCATTCCTCTGAGCGAACTCCACTCACCGCCATATGCGTAGAGTTTCGGTTTTGGCCGCCCTCCGAGCATGAACCTCGACTTTGTGGACTGCGAAATTCCGAAGGAACCTGAGGTGATCTCTAACGATCAAGATCCGCGCGAGGCCGGCTGTACGTCCGTCTCCATCTCCCCCACCATAGTGTCGTTGCTCACTGGTTGTCGTAGTCCACGTCTGGACATGGCAGTATACCAAGCTGCTGTATTCGATCATGACAACGGCGTTTGGGGCGAAGCAGCCGAGCTACGCCAAGGTCATGGAGATGGACCGCAAAGTGCGCGACTTCCCCGTCCCGTCCGCGCTCCGGGTCCAGTGCGGCGTGCCAGAGGAGTTGCCGCCCACACCCGCGCTGGGCGTGCAGCGACTGCTGGCTACCCTGCTCAAGGAGTCTAGTAAGTCTTTCCATCGTCGGTCAGACCATTACATGGCGGACTGCTTACGCTCTCTCACTGACAGCGCTGCTGAACCTGCACCGGCCGTACTTCTCGCAAGCGCTCAATGACATGCCGGAGGACCCGCTGAAGCACAAGTATGGGCCGTCGGTGATGGCGATCTGGCGGTCTGCGTGGCGGATATTCACGAGCGCGAAATGTGCGTTCAAGGTCGCGCCCGGGCTTGCTGCGAGGCTGGGGATTATGTGGTCGCATGCGCTTTCTGGCAGTGTACGTATAACACCTTCACGAAACGCGTGGGAGACTGACAGGGTGCTGTAGATCGTGATGTGCCTGTTGGTCACTCGAGCACCATCGTCGAACCTCGCACATTGTTCGCTCACCGAGCTGGACAAGCTCTGCGAATTGTTTGAGGAAGCGGCGAGTCAGAGCCAGATCGCGTCCAACAACATCGTACGTATACCCCTTTCTCCTCCTCCGTCTCGGCTCATACTGACTCCTATTGTGCAGAACGTCATCCGGAAACTCCGCAAGCAGGCGCACGACGCCGTCAACAAGGCGCACGCCGCCGAGGACTCCGCGCGCATCCACAGCGAGCTGGACCGGCTGGGCGGCAAGACGCACCTCATCTGCCCGACCGAGGAGCGCCAGTGGTACAAGTGCCAACGCAACTACAGCCGCACGCGCCCCGCCCCCTCGACGGACTTCACCTCCCCGACCTCCGCTCCCTCCACCTCCGGCGCCGCCGGCGTGGCCTCGGCAGACTCCCCCGTCCAGGCGGACCTGATCCACCCGACGATCATGCAGGACCTGCGTGCGTTCGACGACGCCGCGCCCGGGACGGACGTCTTCCCGACGGGCGGGGGCGCGAACGGGGGCGTGGCCGGGGCGGGCCCGAGTGGGTTCAACCTCGACTTCCCGTCGACGGCGTTCCCGGACCCGTTGCAGGCGGAGTTCCCGCTGTTCCCGGACTTCGACTTCGTGGGAGGGGCGTCGGTCGCTACGCCGTCGTCTGGGTCTGGGTCGGGCTCGGGTGGGGCATCGGCGGGGATGAATGGTGGTGGGTTGGCGGTGGGTGCGGGTGCGACGGGCCCTGCGCTGGACCCGTGGAGTCATCCGATGCAGGCTGCGTTGGACCCTCCAACTGGTGTCCCGGTGTTGGATGCGACTTGGCAGGCATTCGTTGAGCAGCTAGGATTCTGATTGAGGGGAGAGTACGCGCACGCAGGATCAGACTATCCAGGAAGATGTATTGTACGAATTGTTGATCGCGCGTAATGTGCTATCGGTTCGATGCTATCACTGCTGTCGCACACCCTTGTACTCGCGGCAAGACACGTCCACGTTTACGAGCGACTGGTGATCGTGGTGGAAGGCAAGAGACGCGTCGATGGCGTGGGACGGAAGGAGAGAGAATCTCGTGGACGCGACGACGCACGTGCGCGTGACGTAGCGCGATTCTGCAGTGCTTGGCAGAGTGAGCAGGCCAAGGAGGGTTCTGCTGGTTCTCGTCTCTTGCTTTCGCCCGCTGTAGCCTGCTTTCTCTGCTTCTCGCTGTATATTGTTCTAATTGGCTATTGCCTGCTGCCACGATGGGCTACGTCCCGCAACACGCGCTCGACAACCTGAAGAAGTACTCCTACAAGGGCGTAGACAAGTCCGTCCATCTCTGCCGCTTTCCCGCTCTCCTTCTCATCGTCGCCCGGCTAGGTCACTCGTATCACGATACATCCTCCAACCGTTCTGGGGATGGTTTGTGACCCTCTGGCCGACGTGGGTAGCACCCAACACCGTACGCACCCCTCACCGGCATCGGCTTGCCCATGCTGAAATTTACGGCTCCTGAAGATCACCCTCACCGGCCTGTCCTTGGTGCTCGCGAACTTCGCTACTCTCATATACTACGACCCCAAGTTCTTGACCGAGAAGGGCGGCGCTGATGGGCCTCCCAACTGGATATACTTTACGTGCGTACTAGTCGCTATCCGATGCTTGTATATGATCCTCACCTCGGTGACCGATAGGTGGGCAGCAGGCCTATTCTTGTATCAAACTCTAGACGCTATAGATGGGTATGTTCTGTCGCCCTGGTCTTGCATATCGTCTGCTCATGAAGGTGCAGAAAGCAAGCACGGCGGACGGGCATGGCTGGCCCCTTGGGCGAGATGTTCGACCACGGATGCGATGCCCTCAACACTACAGTACGAATCCCCTCTTCTTCACCTTCACAAGACGCTCATGACATCATGACAGCTTGAAGTCATCCTCTGTGCCCGTGCGCTGAACCTGGGCAGGTCATGGTGGACGGTCGCGTCCCAGATCGCGACCCTGGCGAACTTCTACTTGACCACCTGGGAGGAGTACCACACAGGTATGGTGAGGTAACTGTATGCATTGAGTCCGCTGCTGAGCTACTGTCAGGTCAACTTTTCCTGGGCGTCTTCTCCGGCCCTGTAGAGGGCATCCTCTCCATCGTCCTGCTGTACCTCGTCACCGGATTCACCGGTAAGCGAGGACATGGCTGATCCACGCCGCCATAATGCTCAGACATGACACTGTAGGCCCTGCGTTCTGGGACCAGGACTTCTTCGCGGTCACTAGACTAGACAGATACCCGATCATCATGCAATACGTGCCTCGGCTCGGTCTGAACGACGCGTTCATGGTATTCGGCGGCTTCGTCCTCGCCTTCAACATCGTCACCAGGTAGGTCTCTCCCCCCTTCCGCCTCTCCCTCCTCTCCCATACCCATTCTCACTCATCCACTCGCACAGCTACTACAACGTCTACAAATCGCGCGTCTCCACCAACCAGGGCCCCTTCCTCCCGCTCCTCTTCCTCCTCCCCTTCCCGATCTCCGTCGCGCTCGAGGTGTTCTGGCTCAGCTCGCCCTCGTTCAGGGACTCGCAGATCCTGCACTCGGCGCTCTTCGTGCCGTTCCTGTGCGCGTGGGGCCTGCAGTTCGCGCACCAGGTGTCGCGCATCATCCTCGCGCACGTCACGAAGCAGCCGTTCCCGTGGTGGGACTCGATGTGGGTGTGGAGCATCGTCGGCGCGATTGACGCGAACCTCCCCAGGCTCATCGGACGGTAGGTCTTTCTCGCCCTTCCGTACGTCTATCCTTCGGTGGGCTTATTATGTCACGTCCGCAGACCGCCGCTCATCCAGAGCACGCTCCCGCGCACGGCGCTGTTCGTGTACGTCACGCTCGCGGTCGCGTTCCTCTCGTACGCGCGCTTCTGCTACCTCGTCATCAACGACATCACGAACTACCTCGGCATCGCGTGCTTCACCGTGCGCAAGCGCGACCGCTCGGGCGAGTGGGTCGGCGCGGCGGAGGTGAATGGGAAGAAGCTGTGAGATTTGGTGGGTGGGCATGAGGTGGGGGTGAGGGGAGGACGGGAGGGAGGAGGGAAGGTGGGAAGGTGGGGAGGGGGAAGGAGAAGGAGAGAAGAACGAACGATCTACGGTGTGGTCATGAACTGACGACTCGGACGCCGTCCTGACGAACGAACAAAAGTACGCTGCATTATGCTATACCCTACGACTCATGACTGTAGAAGAGGGATACTACTACTCGAATGATACAACGATATTCCGATTTGGGCCCTGAGAGCCTGAGCTCAGGCTTGCATGACATGAAAGATCGTACTGTTGTTTCGTCCGCCCCAATGCAGGCTCGCCCTCTTCGTAAGCACTGGGGGCAACCATGCACATTGTCCGGGCCCCCTGCAAGAAGAAGTACTCCCACTACTAGTAGTACTGGTGAAGCTTCGAGGCATGAAGCGGGTACCAAGGCTCGCACCGGCTGCATCACTTCCACGTTGTGGTTGGGGAGGCTTTGACGGCTGTTTAAGAATGATCAATGTGTTACAGGGAGCCCACACAACGGGCGTTTGGCACAGTGGTAGCGCGCACGCTTTGCATCCGAACTTGCGTGAGGTCCAGGGTTCAAGCCCCTGAACGTCCATTTTTGCTCCTCTCGTCTCACAACTTCATCATCGAGCCCGACCTGGGGAATCTGAACCAATATACAACAGTACACGAGGGAGTGTACATTTCTTGTAGTACTGCACTCGCCTGCCATTCATGCTCCGATGTACTTGGTCCTGACTGAATTGCTCTCCGAGTTGCTCACCTCTGTCGCCCAGGCGTCCTGGCCATATTGTGCCCCCCGGATGTCCCGATGGGCCTCGCCCGGCTTTGGCGTTGTTGGAGTACAGTTCCTTCATTTCTCGGAGTCGACGTTGGGAATCACTGCAATGGTCGCCGCCAGACGCCGCTGCACAGTGGGAAGTCGCCGCAACGGCGACCTTCACATCACATTAGACGACGGTATACGTCTTCGAGGTTTCTGGCAGAGCCGGCTTGCTCACGGTAGGAGACCGTGGATTCCTACCCGCTGCCGAGCTGCCGAGAGACGAACTTGCCGTGTTGCGCACCTTCGCAATTAGCGGCGTCATGCCAGTAGACGAGAGAAGGCGAATGTATCTCGTCACCTACGTACGGCAGTTGTCCTGAGACCCGTCTATCAGTATGGAGTGCACTTCGGTGAGAACGAGCTCTCACGTACATGTAGCTTGATAAGGAGTCTGCTTGCAACAGTACACAAGGTGAGTGCTGCGTGAACTCTTCGGGGAGCTTTACGCGAGGGACTTCGTGCATCGGGCAGTTCGGAACTACTAACGACGCTGCAAGACGCATCGCATTGAAAAGACGGCGAAGTCGAGGGCCTGACAATCGTAACAAAGCATCGCCCTAAAAGAACAGACGCAGAGTCATGCTGACGGTCTGGTGAATCTTTGGCATTGTTCATGACCGTGATCGAGGACGGACATCGTCGAGTCGTCGACCGCCATCATGCATGAGCAGCGGCGTGACCTGAGCACAGTTGCATTCATCAGTGAAAGGCACAGCGAACGACAGCTGGTACAAGGAGAACTTCTCTTGCTCTGAGACAACATGCCCCGTGATTGACAGCGCAGAGTTGGCAGAGTTCTCCTATCAAGAGAAGCCAGTGACGCCCAACGGCCGACAATTGCAGGAAGAAGGGACCGGCGGAAAGGAGCCTAGGGAGCAGACGGAAGCGAAGAAGACGGCCGAAGACATCACGACGAGAAAGTTTAGCAGCAGCTGCGAAGCCGTGACAGGGCTATCTCTCCGCGCCCTTGGGACATCGCGGCGCACCCACCCGAGTGCCGGAAATGCGCCCCCAGCTTTCCAAGGCCATCAGCCGAATCGGGGCAGGTGCGCCGCCAGCGGTCAGGGACGACGCCACGGTGCACCGCCCGCGAAGCAGATGGGAGGCGGGGCAGCGGTCCGTTTCCTTGTATGGCGATCGTCGGTGAGATAAGGTGAGTCGTTGTAGCATGTTGATCCAGTGGCGGCTCGCACCTGCGTCGGATGTACCACGTCTAGCGCCCCGCATGTCGTCCCGCCACACCGAGGGCGCGATATAGCGCAACGAAAGAACTTCGTGCACGGTCGTGATCGCGTAATCGGCCTCTGTTCATGACGAGCAGCGCGCTCGGATACCCACGCACGCTGTGGTCACAGCGGCGATAGTGTGCAGCTGCGCATAGGACAAGCTTCAAGCTCGCCATCCCCAGGCTATCCTTGTACACTAATAGACGACGCTTAGTTGCAAACCCTGAGCTTCGTATAAAACGCACTTAATTTCCCAGGCGTGACGCCAGAATAGACAGGAGACGAATAGGTATTAGCCATACGTCCCAAACTGGAGGATCTGCGGTCTTCCTTCTTTGCCTCGGTAACGTCGGTGAGAAGGGAATTGGACCAGCGAGCATGGCGCAGGTCATCGGCGGTCGCACCGAGCACCGACTACGACATGCGGAGCTTGACCCGATGGCGACTTCGTCGAGCTCTTCGTGATGATACGTCGCAGAGTGGGAGGATATGGTGCGACGACAGCTCACGCCTTGAGCAATCTTCAGGCGACAGAAAATGAGAGATACTCACGATCAAGCGGACGAAACACGTACTGCGCTGAACAGCAACCTGTACCGTTGGGCACGTTCTCTTCATAGTTCCAGACACAGCTTCAAGTTAGAAGCTGAACCGTGAAGGCGATCGCGCCGTTGCCGACCATCTACCACTCAGATCCGGGGCAGGATCGCTCTACCCCGCAATCATGCCTGCGGGATCGTCTCCCGACGTCGATGCCGGACTCGGACAAGCCTCGCGGAAGACGAACCGCAGAAATGTCGGTAACATCCTCAGCATGGCGTACAGCACAACGCGGCTGAAAGCGTTGAACGTTGAACTGCTGCGTGCCTCTTTCTCGTGGCAACCGCATGGTCGTCCGGAGTCCGTCCCTAGACACCGTAGACTGCGTGCAATGCATGGTCGCCACGCGTTGGGCTGCTAGGCGACCAGATATGCTTCTAAAACGTGGTGGATAGATGAGATACATACTCAAAGTAAATGATCTGCGACGATGAAATGGTCGTACTCACTGCGAGGAGATTGTGGAGATCTACGGTAATACCACTTAATCGCCGGACATACTGGCCGCCGGCCACTTGCCAGACGTAAAGCATGACATTGCGCACGACCGTGGACGACCGACGAGGGGTCCAACCGCGTCGAAGGGGGTCCTGAAAGCGCGCCCTTATATCCAAAAACAAAGATCGGCAGCGCAGGTACGAGCAACGGAACGCGGAGGCGTACCTCCGAGCCTCCGCTCGGTTGCGGGTCCGAACCTCCCAGGAAGCACTTGGGCATCTCCGGGAGTGGATCGTCGTCCATGACGGTGCGAAGTTCGTCTCCGTGGATAGAACATGGGGCGTGACAGACACCGCGCGAGTATGTCTCATATTCGGGAGACGAAAACTCGCCCTTCCTGGGGTCCTGGGCGGAGTCCGCCCTCCCGCGTTACGCCCGCCCTTCGTCCACGTTTGGGCATCGTGCTGCTATTCTCGTGTGGTGACTTCTGAGTGCATCCGCGAGTTGTGCAGCGATCAGTGCAAGCTACGTACAAGAGCCAACGGTGTACGTACCAGACGAAGAGGGCGTCTTCTCGAGACAGTCTTATCTCGGAGTGGCGGTCGCTTCGGGTTCGCTGTCACCGCTGAGGCAGTGGTCGTGCCAGCAATTGTCCTCATCATGCACAGATAGGTCTTCTACTCGCAACCATGGTCATTGAAGGCTCGCGGCACCTTCACATTGAGGCTGGGCTCAAGGATGCCAGGCAATTGAAGACAATGGGTTTCCAATAAACCGGTTGAGAAGTAGTGTACACATCTATCTGATACGACGCATCGCTATAATCCTAGGTTGTGTCAGAACCAATCCCACAAAGCGGAGACCTGGGCGTACCGCTCTGAGGAGTGCCAACGAAACACAGCCAGCGAGGAACACAGCGTTCAGTGAGTATTTCTGTCTTGAGCTGCGGAGCGTTCCAAACATGAGAGAGCGCCAGCGGCGCTTGAAGCAAGACCTCCCGGGAGTCACAGCTGCAAGACAGAAAAGGAAGTTTGAAGGAAGCCACAGCGTGGGGATGGGAGCGATATGCCAGGGCGGGCGTGTCATACCGCGCCCGCCACAGTCAAGCAAGGGGAGCGCGCGGTCTGATCGAGGTGTCAGAGCTGTCTCTGTCACAACCATGCTGTGTACGCCGGAATGCTCGGAACGCTTGGAGATTTGTTGCCGGAATCCACGATGCCGACGCTCAACGCTCAGGGCGCGGCAGGCGGTGAGTAGTCAACTGCGCGCCACCACGCTGTTGGTCGCCTGTAGTGTACGCCCTGGTCATCCATTATCCTGGTTGAAGGCGCTCGGAATCACTGCCTGGCCGCTTGGACTAGAGCGGCGTTCCGCATGGCGATGCACGAGATGGCCGGGAGGTTATGAACGTGCGAGGTGGCCCAAGAGTGACTGCGCGGGTGCGCAAGCGGAGGTTGCGGACGAGCGTGCGGAGTTAATGTGAGAGACGGTCTGGACGGGAGTGGGAAGTGGCATACCTTTGCTGCACTCACGCCTCGGTGCGTCCTCTGTTCGGGCAATTACGGCAGGTCTAGGGCCTGCAGCCTGGGTCATTGAGACACGAGCGTGGAAGGCAATCCCTCTTGGGTCTCCGGCTACTCATCGCAGCTTGAGGGCGTTCCAGTTATTGCTGGTATAACGACCACCACGATCGGAGGGATTCGGTGTGATCATCCTACTTACACACGAGCGTTCAAACGGAACGGGAGAGGTATGCTTTCCGACGTCCGTTCGTCGGATCCCGTCGAGGCTGGCCATGGGCGCTCCTGCTCCGTTCCTTGTCCTTCCGTGCGTCCGAGGCGCGTAGCCATGCAACTTGACAGCTTCAGGCCGGCCTAGAGGGGGAATTTGTGGCCAATCAACTAGGAGCAAACAATGCACCGACCGGCATTAGCGAGGAGCTTAAGGGCACAGCAATGCAGCAACGGAACGCGCCAAACGACGGCGCAAAGCTGAAGAGCGGCCCAGACTGCGCAAGCCCGAGGCGTTCAAGGGTCCGAACCCAGCAATTCCCTTCCGGACACTCGAAGCCGGACGCGGACGAACAGAAGGACGAGCGTAGAACCTGATGTCACCACGTTCCCCAAGTGACGAGTAACGGCTCGCCCACGAAGCACTCCAGTGCCGAGTGACGACGACTGCGAAGCCCGAGTCCGAAGAGGGTAGAGCGGCCACGCTGCGGCGGCCTCCACAAAGCCACAGTACCGGCGTGCGCGCGGCCGCCACCAGTGGTGCCGGGGAAGCTGCGCTGTCGCCCTGCGGAGGACGTGCGCGGGCACGGGTCGTGCCTCGAGGCTCGGAGCGCCCGCACGTCCGTACGACGGGTCGGTCAGCGGACTGGCACGCGCGCCATGGGCAATGTCATGCGTCCCAAGCTCACGGTCGGGGAAGGGTCGACGGGGGCTCGAGCGGTATCGCAGGAGTGACAAGTTGCCTTGGCGGTCGGTCCAGAAGAGAGCGTTCACG